GCGCCCAAGGTGTTGCGGACAAGGTCGCCGAGACTGTTGCGTCGGGCCAGTACGAGTTTGTGATGTGTAATTTTGCGCCGCCGGATATGGTATGTTCCCTTACGAGTTTTTGGGGTGTGGGTTGTTGATGAGGGTCGGGATGGTGTGGTGTAGGTTGGACATACGGGTGTGTATGAGGCTGCTGTGCAAGCTATTGGTGCAACGGATAAGGCTGTCAAGGTACGTCCCTGCTCCCCTTTTACATCTCTCTCTTTATCCTGAGAACCTTAAACAGACCGTATACGACGCATGCCAAAAAGCCGGCTACATCCTCGCCATCACCGCAGACCACGGCAACGCCGAACAGATGATCAACCCCGAAACAGGGAACCCCCACACGGCGCATACGACCAACCCTGTTCCATTCATCATTACTGGCGATCCGGCCAAGTACGGTCTGGCTGGAGACGAGGAGAGTGGAGAGGACGAGGAAGGAAAGGGCGCTTTGGCGGACGTTGCGCCTACTCTTTTGGATTTGATGGGGTTGGATAAACCTGAAGGTGAGTTTTTTTGTCTTTTCGCTGGGTGGTGAGGTTAGGGTGCTGATTTTGGGTGTAGATATGAGTGGGCGGTCGCTTCTGGTTAGGAAGTAGAGGTAGAGATGGACACATGAAATATAGTGATACAGAAGGATAGATTTATGTACTGAAATCAAGAGTTGAATATATTTACACACTGGATGTCTTGATGACACTCCCGTTTGTATAACTTGGAGTATGCATTACGCAATATGCGTTGTTAGACAGATCGCCGGCGAATGACCAGAGAAACTCAAGCGAAAACGGTTACGCTTGGCATGCGCCTTGGGCGGAGAGTGTCGTACTCTCGTGCATTAGTCAAGCTCATTAACGCAAACTCAGTCACCGAGAAGACCAAAGCGTGCAAGCAATTAATGGTTCATTTTGCTATTCCACGAGTAATCGTCCCGTTATCGTATACATTCATGCATCTGGAACGCTAAAGAGGTATAAGGTATTACATCTTCAGCTCCAGGTTGAGGTCTGTTCAACTGTCAGCCCAAATAAAACTCTTCTAACGAAACTAGAACAACGTACTCGAGTGGACCCAAGACTTTGAGACCTCGAATATGTGTATCCTTCCCATTCATATAGTTCGCCGCAATTACGATTTGGATCGCATAACAATGCAATGGCCTTCTAGAACCCCAGCTCCTACATCAGATCCTGATCGGAAAGGCGAGAAAGAAATAGAAACGTACGCGCTCATACCATCATCCGATGGATCCATTGAGACATCAAAGTCGAGCCACTCGTTCGGTCGCTCGAATCCGACATATCTCACTTCTTGCAAATCGTTTAAACTCATCCCTGCACGAATTGCCAGTCGTATGGGCGTGTACGAGTCGTCTTGGTCGAACTTGAGGAGAATGGCTATTTTCTATTTATAGGGCAGGTTGGTATGATTACACTCGCGTGCTTTACGGATACAAGAGGCCAGGAACGTACCTGAACGGCTACCTTTTTGTGGAATTGTAAGGTAATAAAGTGAGGTTGCGGGCCATCACTCCTGTGGATGACCATGTGTTGAATCGTTTGCTATCCCTCGCAGTAGACTGCGCCTTGACTCACTGCCAAAACGTCTCGGGGTCGTCGTCACGCAAGCAATCGACATTGAACCCGTACTTGAAGCTCGACACGCTCCAGGCGGCGAGGTGTCCGATATCGGGTAATTTGCCTTGATAGTGATCCCCTTTTAACAGTACCTCAATGGTTAGGCGATATGGACGATTATGAAGACAAACTCACCAGACATCACGTGGCACCGACTTGCTAATCAACGCGGTCACTTGGGTTAATTTCTATCGTCGTAATTGGTTTAGTACGCTCGCCGTTATAGCGTAGGGTGACTCGCAGTAGTTACCTGGACACGATGTGCTCGTGTTGGTGGTGGTCGCGTGCAAGCGTGGCTACGTCAGGAACTATACAGAACCATATTTTGACTTTGTTCTGAGGTACCCCTATTCATCAAACAACACCACACAGCACGGAATTGACGCAACACCCCCTGCGTAGCAATTACACCCTCTTTCCCCAAGGAAGTCTTTTATCGGGCTGTACAACCCACGCTCTAATGTGGGTTGATACCTGCAATCCACGCTGCTTCTCCTCGGAACGAGGCGCTCGGCCGCAGTTGACGCGAATACAGCGCGCAAAACTTTTTTAGGGGGATGGCTATCCTCGGGGATCACACCTAGATCAGATCAATACGCGGGAATAGTTCTGAACTGCTCCCGTGTGTGACAGTACTTCTAATACCTTGGAGAAATGTCTGATATTTCACGGTAGATATATATAGAATGATGCCCGGTGCTGATACATTCTTTATCTACAACTATTCAATGCTCGCGAGCCTCGCGAGCCCGACAACACCCATATGTATAGTTGCCCGCCGAAAGCTATGGTCTGAAGATCTTTTTTTGATGGAATGTTCTCGGAGCTTTCCCTAAATCAAGACCGAGCTATCACGGAGGAACCTTAACCAAGGTTAGAGGATCGGGAGTCGAGAGAGCTCGAGCAAGACTAAGCGGTCTTATACACGTCTTTTGCCCACAGTGAAGCACAGCTCCCGAGTAACGTCAGTGGCCCGGTACAGCGTCCTATTTGTTGGTAGGCAACTGTTGCTGGAAGATTTCATTTTGACTTTTGTGGCGGACGGTTACGCTCCCCGAGCCAAGAGCGATCTCCTCATTGACGAGCCCGTCTACCCCTGTCAAGGGGGCGTACTATCTCACCCCAGTTCCAGTCCTAATAAACGTTTTGATAATCATAGAGAACCTGCTGTCTTACTGCTACCGAAGCACAAAAAAGGCGGCCCGGGAGCAATAATGTAATGCAATCGATCAAAACGTAAATACCCGAAGTGCCAATCGTGCACCTAAGCGGACGCATACAGCCGTTATCCCCTACTACTGCCGCAACAGTAACATTTTGTTACTCCAATTGCTTCCGCCATTATATGCTCGTGGGGCGGCACGTTCCTAGAGAAGGACGTGAGTTCCAAACCCTACACTGAGCTGTGATACTTAAACACTTCCGGCCGGACGTCCGTCGACCGCAGTTCCCCCTCGATTCCATTGGTTTTCAAGCTTGCTGTCGACTTCAGCGGTATGTGTATCTTGTAGTTCATTCAGGCTTTTATTTATGCCGATAGTCTTAAAGGGCTTACAACATGACTGTCTTGCCATATTCCATCGATGAAGACACCATCACCGCGCATATATACACCGATCCTATCCATTCCTTTTCTTCAAAAATCGCTGTTCTATTTCTTTTGCATGGGCATCCGTCTAGCGCACGACATATGAAGCCCATTGTCAATGGCATATTCGATCTCACAACTAAAATGACTGAAACTGCTTTCGCCGACTCGAACCAAAATCTTGTGATTGTAACTTTGGTGAACTATATATCATTAGAATTCATGCGAAATTGTAGGTGGCTGATGTTTGTTCGGCTCATAGGACCTCAAACCGGCAGACGACCAAGAAAGGCTAGACGAGTCCGAGTCGTGAGTGCGCCACCAATCTCACGTACTAAGTAAAACAGTACTAACCTCTGCCCCATACTGATTAGTGAACGTCTCTACCGACAACAAGGTATGCCCGTACGATACACCAGTTACTACGCCCACTAATCGCAACTCATAACAGAACGCATGGCGGAGAGCGTCTCTGCGCTCATCGACAGACTTCCTTCGCTGCTCAGCCCCAACTATGACAAGATTTTGTGAGTCATACAAAAACTGGCGTTGCCCAGAAAACTCATTGGGGGTATCCTAGTGACACCTGGATGGTTGCGGGCGTGTCGTTAGGCGCGCACGCAGCTTGGTTGGCTATTGACCGAGGTGAGCCCGACGGGTCCGAATACGCATCATCACAGGCTCAACGCCCAATTTAGACCCTCGTCTGTCGGTCTGTATACCCGTAATAGGTTCGTTTAGCCCACGCCTGCCAATTTATTTTAGCTGACCCGATTGTTACAGGATCTCCTGACTTTCTCGATATTGCAACCCAAAGAAGCAGCTCCCCCGGAGTTCCACTCGTCTCGTCCTACATGTCTTCCAGCATTCGGAATTATATTATCAAAAATGATCCAGTCTCACGCAAGCGGAGTCCGTCACAACAAACGTCGTTCATGAACAAACATGTTTTAGCGCTGGCAGGAGCACAAGATGGCATGATTCCACTACTCGCAACGCGTGCGTTTTTGGATCGCATTGACGTAGGTCCGGCGGGAACCAAGCGACTGGTGATACAGCAGGGAGTGGGGCATCAGTGTACGAGGGAAATGGTCAGAGAGATGGCCAAACTTGTGTGGAAGGTCGTCCTTGCGTAAACGAAATGCTCAACTCTGCTTTGCTGTATTTTCTCACTTTTTGGGGCTCATGGTCACTTACCGCTTTCCTGTCTTAGCGCTATTCTAATTACCAGCTGTATTTATACGCACGATTATACCCTTACTATGTATTGCCTATGTCTTAATTGAATACGGTTACCATGAATACATTTCTGGCCCTGCTACAGCCCACTTGACCATTTTTAGCCTAAGTGACTAACAAACCTAGTACTTCTAGTAGGTACAATCAGTTAAAACACGGGAGCTATTCAACGGCTAGTCCTTGCGTCACGACCTGGTCTGGGCCTATTTGCCGTTGAGTGGATATATGCGTACGTTTCGATCTTCCTAGCTACAGTGACGTCTTGGTACATGTTTCGCAGACAAGTTGCGTCTGCTGAAAAGAACTTTGAAGCATTGACCGACATGTGATTTGCGAAGCGAAGCTAACCGATTGAATGACCGCATCGCTCTTTTTTATTTCACGAGATGTTCCATCGTTGGCATTGGTAAGGCAGACCGACATATTCTGCAAATTTTCTAGTAGGCCAAGACTTGATTGTAGGGGCCGCTCGCTCTACTGCTCAGAGACAAAAGGTTACCCTGTACCGAGCACGGGACTCGAACCCGCAGCCTTCGCCTAAACAAATCATGTGACTTGTAGGAGGGCGACGCTCTACCATTGAGCCAACACGGCTTGACGTTGAGCTCAGTTGAGCCTATATTGCCCCTGACTCTTCAACCATATCTCATCAACACGGCATCAATGATCTGCATAAATAGACTTGGATGACGCTTACAAGGGACCCGGCAAAGGATGAGGGCTCGACCACACAGGTGCTCGGGTAAGAACCTCCGCTAACACTCACCTAGCGAATGTAGGTCGGTGACTCGGCAACGCTGCCCAAGTGCACACAAGTATACATCCGATGTATCCGAAGCATATGTTATTTTCAACTCGACCATCACATCAATAGAACCCAGTAGAACCAATCGCATTCCTTGGCATTTGCACGTGGTGCACGCGGAGGCGATAAGTACCGAGAACGGTCGGCTCAGCCCAGCTTGTACTCCCCTCTGCCTCTGCCGCTGTCGACTATGGCCGAACCCCAGGCTCGTCCTTTTGGTCTCTCGCAGGTTTCGCTTATCTTTGCGTAGGTCTTGCGGTTGAATCATTTAGTGCCTGGCATTGACTTGACCTACAGATGCGGCACAGCGTTGTTCTCAGATGGTACGTTATTTTTCTCGCCCCAGAAGGCTTTTTAAAATCCATCGTGTTGTAGGGTATGCCAACGGTGTTATCGGAAGTGGTAAGTTACTATACTTTTGTCTTTGATCCAACAAGTTCACTTACCCCTTTTTCACAGTGAACACTAGTGCGTATAGGCTATATATAGTAATCCGCTTGACAAAATAATCGAACATGTGTCGCACATTCTAGTCCTCCGACGACTCTATCCCGACGAGCTAGCAAAACATAACTATGCAACCACACTTTCCTCACTTGCGTTTGCAGGAACTATAGTTGGAATGGTTAGCCTTCTCCCTAATCTACGACAATACCTCATTTGAACTCGCCTCGCTAGCTACTCTTTGGATATCTGAGCGATAAAGTTGGACGCAAATTCGGAATGGTAAGCCGACTCATAATAAGACATACCAAATCTAATATCCCCGTAGATGTCAGCTACAATAATTGTCGCCGTGTTCTCTTTCCTCTCCGCCTGTTCAGCGGGAGCACACGGAAGCATTAGTGGCCTGCTCGCCATGCTTAGCGCTTGCCGGTAAGCGAGCTCCCTTTTTTGTCAAAGGTTTCTAACCGATATTTTTGTAGCTTCTTGCTAGGAATTGGGGTACGTAGCGCCGGTAGTATTTCGCCAGAGTGTCTAATCTTTTATGCAGGTTGGTGCGGAATACCCTTCCGGCTCCGTCGCTGCATCCGAGCAGTCAGAAGAGGAAGGGATCTCCAAAGGCGCTCAGCATCGTTGGTTTGCTCTGGCTACCAGTAAGCCCTATATGCTCTCTGAGTCTCCAATTATTAACCGTTTTCCAAGATACGATGATCGATGCCGGATTCGTGATTTCAGCCTTTACGCCGCTTGTCTTGCTCTGGATGTGAGTTTGTAAAGCAACCTCCCTACTTTTCGTGCTCATTATTTCAGTTTTGGCGAGAACCATCTCCGCGCAGTATGGCGTGGCTCGCTTGGCCTTGGTGTGATTCCTGCTCTGGCCGTCTTGCTCTGGCGTCTGCGCATGACCGAGCCGACTCGCTACCAGCGTGACTCTATGCGCAATGCAAAAGTCCCCTACTGGCTCATCATCAAGCGCTACTGGGTGAGCTTGGCCGCTATCAGTCTAACCTGGTGAGTCTTAACGGAATTATATATTCGATTTTGCGCATTTAACCCGTTGATTCACAGGTTCGTCTACGACTTTATCACGTGCGTACACTTGTGCTCCTGTCTCGAGTTTTGACCGTTTCAACGAGGTCGTTTATAGGTATCCCGTAAGTTGTATCTATTTATCTCATTCCCTACCCCTGACTGAACCTTTTCAAGTTTGGCATATACTCCTCAACGATCGTGGATAGCATCATCGGGGACACCAAAAGTCTCTACGTGATCTTTGGCTGGAATGTGGTGATCAAGTACGTACAGGCTTCACCTCTTTCTTTACCATCCGACGACCAACTATGTTTATCCGTAGCCTGTTCTATATCCCAGGAACGCTCATCGGTGCCTTTGTCGTCGATTGGCTAGGCCCGAAATATACCATGGTTCGCAGATCTTGTCCATACCTCTAGGGGAGAATCCATGCTGACCGCGTGCTCGCAGATAACGGGACTCCTTTGCCAAGCTGTGATCGGCTTCGGAATGAGTGGTGGATATACACAGTACGTGGCCGAATGCTTCTGCCCGAATCGCCAGCTGATCGCAGCGCAAGCAGCTTGAAAAACAACATCGCAGGGTTTGCGGTGCGTTCATCCCGATCGATTATATGCTAACCACTAAAGCCAACCTCGGTCAGGTCCTCTACGGTATCTTCCTGTCGTTTGGCGAACTCGGGCCCGGCAATTGCCTTGGCCTTCTGGCCTCGAAAAGCGGACCGACCGCCGTGCGCGGTCAGTTTTACGGTGCGGCAGCCGCGATAGGCAAGGTTGGAGCCTTTGTGGGCACATGGGGTAAGTCAATGGCCGTCATCGTTTTTCATTTTCCCTGTGGTACTGACTGGGTTGCATCAGCGTTCCCACCCATGATTGAGGGTACGTTCCATTTCGAGTATCGATCTAACCTTGCTCAGGTACTAACCAATCATTTCAGCGTTCGGTGGCGCTTCGTCTACTAGGGGTAATACGGGGCCATTCTGGGTTGGAAGTGGTACGTTAATGTTTTCTGGTACTGCATGCATGATCGACGGTATGCTCACGATGTATATGATGCTAGGATTGGCGGTTTTCAGTGCGCTCATCACGTTTTTCTTCATCCGGCCGTTGTCGCACGACGGAATGAAGGACGAGGATGAAAAGGTAAGTTGTGGATATTCATCTACAAACAACTCGCCTTTTCACACACGTGTGATAGTTCCGCGCGTACTTGGCAGCGCACGGGTATGACACCACCAAGATGGGACTTAGCTCGGCCAGTGATGTCGATAGCGTTGGAGAAGTGCCGACTACGTACCTCGAAAAGGAGAAGGAAAAGACATCTGAACAGTGATCCTGTCCTTGTCCCCGAAAATGATTTTCATGACTTTATGCTTTTGACGCTTTGTATTCTCGACTTCCTTTCAATTTACGATTTTTGTGTTTGTTCGAGGATTGACCGAAATGTGGCGAGATGAGCTCTTGGACATGAGGTGGATGTGCTCCATGTGGGGGGAGGACCTGCTCCACCGATGTAATCCCAGGCGAGGATTGCCAAGTTATGATCCACGTGTTTATTGAGTATATCAACACCAGCACTACATTCATTCTACTCTCTAGAGCGTGCTGTCAAACAAGAAAATCAGGGCATATGGCGAGATTGAACTATGATCATGCACGCACGGAAATCAATGAGTCATAGGTTGGGGTTCGTTGGACCGTGAAGCCTGCTGTTTGGCGACTTCTTCCCTGTTTGTTCAATAAAGAGTGAAACAGGGGTCTAGGGGTAAGAAATAGCCAGACTCACCTCAATTGTTTGCTAAAATCGTCCTCCACATCGTCATCGTCCCAGTTATCCTCCCACAAATTATCCGCAACATTCTTTGATGCTCCAGACGAAGACGAGTTGGTAAGATTTGCAATATCTGTATCTCGATCCTCCCAATCTGCAAGCAACGAGGTGATTCAAAAAGTCTAGAATATGACATTCTGCTAGGCTTACCTTGCGCCGGGAATTCTTCAAACTCGTCATCCTCCTCTAGCACGCCCAACGCAGGGATCTGCTTTTTCTTTGGAGCGTCGACCTCCATTTTTGCGTCGGTGGATGGTTTAGCGGTCGAGGAGCTCATGGTGGCCGGGATCAGGAGACGCGTAGCCCGGCGAGCCCTGAGCGCATGACAATCGAATTGGACCCGCCCTGAACAATCGTGGTCCCAGCGGTAACGAAGATGATCTCTGCCGTACTTGGCAGCCAACGATGCCCTCGACGACTCCTTTCACCTCTGTAGTATCGCTGGATAATCAGTTTAACTCGGTACAGATACCTTCATGCGCTCGAATTGCTGAAAACAGCGCTGGGAAGCTGCAGGAGGTATATAGCGCCATAAATGAAGCAAGGCGGGTCGTCGTACTCTGTGGTACGTAGCTGTTATCGCACAATTAACCCCGTAGTTTGAGCTATATTGTTTGTAGGCGCTGGTATATCGGTCTATGCTGGGATACCCGATTTTCGTTCGCCCAGCGGTCTGTTTCAAAGCCTGAAGCGAGACCACCCTAAAGAAAATATTACATCAGGGCGGGATTTGTTTGACTCGACGGTCTTTAAGGTAAGCACATGTTCTTGCGTATTATGATGCGTACAACTTATACATGTTTCAGTCGGAGGAAACCATGTCGATGTTCTACAAGATGATTGCACACTTGGCAACGCTCTCCGAGACAGCACAACCAACCCCATTTCATTCGATGCTTCAGGGGCTTGATGCTCGTGGGCAGCTCCTACGTGTCTATACTCAGAACATTGATGCCCTAGAAGAGCGAGTTGGACTCACATTTGGCATACCTACCTTCCCGCCTCGCACACGGAAACGCAAAGTGCCAACTACACCAACTCTCGACCTACCCACTCCGGATCGTAGCCGCACTAGCTCCTTTGACCTCTCGCCTGCGCCAAGCCCTCCCCCAGGCCCGTATACACCGCCTCGATCCACGAATTCATCAGCTATGACATCACCAGCTCAGACACCGGTACCTACATCCCAATTGCCTCGCTGCGTACCCCTGCACGGCACCCTACAGAACCTCTATTGTCCCTCGTGCCACCTCACCCTGCCTCTGCGCACACCTGAGCACCTTGAAACCCTGGGTTCTGGTAACCCTCTTGCATGTCCTCAGTGCGCCGAGCTGGACGGGACCCGTCGCTTGGTCGGGAAACGGACACGAGGCGTCTCCCGCTTGCGCCCTGGTGTAGTCCTCTATAACGAGCCTCACCGCGAGGGCGAGGCTGAGCGGGTCGGCGAGTGTGTCAGGCGGGACCTGATAGGACTCGGTAGCGG